CTTAGAAGCGCTATATAAATTTATTTATATCAATAATAAACTAAAAATCCTGCCGTCTTAAATTCACATAGGAAATGCCATTGAAATGGTTCGTTCGAAAAATTGTTTGGAACGCGTTTGGAAGGAGGCGGGGTTTGACGTCATAAAATACGTCATCACTGTCCCTGTCTATTGTCATGTGATACTGAAACGGGTTTGCACTTTTTTACTTTCAAGTATTAATCGGTTAAATTCGAGGATATATAATATAAACTTGACGATTGGATAAATTAGACGATATATTATATAAATTAGCGTGTGGAGAAACGTCAGTTTTTCTCTTGCTTTTCAAATAGGTTATAAACTTTTAAATTAGGATGCATCATGGAACTGAAAACTATATTGAACATAGCTCTAAAAAAAAGCATCTAAGAAATTTTAAAAATTATTTGAGACAATTAAGTGCGAAAAAATTTAAGAGAAAGGAAAATATCGAAGTACATTCCAATACAGATAAGAAGAGGATGAGAGGAAAAGGGGGAGGGTTAAGACATGGAATCGGTGTCTTCCCCAGAGGGCATACTAGTGCGTTGTGATCACAAATAAACTTCATCCTTCACGCTACGTAATTGATAAGCGAGCTATAAGCAAAATACTGCAAAGAGCTCTGAAAACTGCACAGCAGTCTTCATCATCTTATTTTAAAACAAAATTTTGAATTTGACTTTGTGCTGTCTCTCCATGCTAAGCCATAGAGGAATAAGCCAATTTTCACAAATTAATTCATGATTTTATCTTCTTCGTGCTGAAAGAAAACCTCATTACTGTGTAAAGAAAAAAAGCAATTAAAATAAGGAAACAATATCGTCTACATTATAAAAGTAGGGGTGAGTATTCATGCATGGTGTGTAATTCTAAATGTGAAAATTAATTAAACAGTTTAAGAGTTTTTTTTTTTTAGCATTTAAGTTTTTTTCATAACTGCTAGCATTTAAGTTAGCAGTTAAGTTCTCTCTTTTTCAAGTTTGCTTGTGATGATTTAGTAATATTTTTTATGAGTGATATATATGTACATTATGTGTCATGTAAAACGAAAGTTTTGTTTTCATATTCCTTAGAAATGCGTTCGTAATATATGTTTCTCAACTACAATCGCCAAGGTGCCAAATAGATTTTAAACTTGCAAATTTTTTGGAAAAAAATAAGAAAAGAAAAGATGTGGATGCTACAAATTATAGCTTTTAAATTGGTCCCTTTCTGTGATGTTTTTTTTTTTNTTTTTTTTTTTTGAATTCCACGCGGGCCACTGCATTGAAGTTGCCAAAACTTGGCAACTATTCTGCCACAAATCACGTTACGGAAATCTCCCCCGTTTATTATATTTATTCACTCTAAGAATTTTTTTTTATAAAGAATTACTCTTTTTTCCCATACTGATTTTTTAAATATTTTTCCCGTACATTAAAACTAAGTGAAGTAATAAAAATAAATTCGCAGCAAAAATAAGATTCCTTTTGGTTTTATTCCAAGTCTAATGACAGAGTTTTTCAAAAATGGTATCCTCTATCTCAGGTTTTGACAGGGTTGCCACTCCACAGGGAATACCTGAAAAATACAGGGAATTTAAAAATCACTTAACTGGGAAAATGCTGTGAATTTTGAGTTTTTTTCTATAGAAACTGGGAAATGCAGGGATTTTTGTTTCATATTTTTGTCTTTAAGAAAGGGTAACCACTCACAGTGCCATCTATGGGATATTTAAGGATGATGTTTCAACTATATTAAACTAGTTCATTTACTATAGCAATATTTTTTTAAGTATGTTCAGCTGTTCCATTTTTTCTTAAGTTTTTTCAGCAATTATAAATAGTATAGTTAGCCCAATAAGACTCATACAATTGCAGAGTACAGAGCTCATTCTAGGCAGAATAAACATGGCGCAGCACACTGCTGCCCTTTTAGTCAAAAGAATTCACCCTGTTGCCCCTGAAGTAAATTAGTGCCCTGATGCAATAGACTCCATATTCTTTTTGCCCTATCTTTCCTCAACTCTTCATTATTTTCAACTCTTTATTTAGTTTGTCATTGCTGTCAATACTTAGATTTATATGAGAAAGGAAAAATAGCCATACCCCCTTGTTGCACTTGTCTTTGAAAGTTTGCAGTTACTTCACTATTATAAAATCATAAATATTATTAATCATTTTAATTATTAAATCATAACTACAGACACTTAAAAACATGCATTTATTATTTTATTAATGTATGCATGCATTTTAAATAAATTACTAAGCTAATTAGCTCAATAACTCGGTATATATGTTAATTCATTAATAAAAATTAGTAAATATGATCGCTTTGCTACTGTTAGTAAAGTAAGAAAAATAAATTCTTTTACTAATTGACAATGTTTTTTCATAGAACATAAGCCCATAGAAAGAAATTATTGCCCTTTTCGAATAATAATGCCCTTTTTTTAACTTTTGCACCCTGCCCTTTTTTCTGCCAAGAATGAGCTCTGCAATAATGTTAACTGCTTTATCCTTCTATTTCTTTTAAATTGTTATGTTTATTAAATTATTGTCATTATTTCATTTAATGCTGCACTAACTCCCACATATATAAAATGCATGAAAAATAAAGCTAAAATGATGAACTGCTTTTTCAACAAGCAAAAAAGTAGTACTATTTATANACCCATCTTTGAAATGGAAAATACAGAAAGCAGTTTAAAAGATACTTATTTTGTTAGATTAAACAAAAAATTATTATTAAGTAAATGTAGTTATACTTTAGTAAAGTGTACAGGCATTCTTGTCCATGTCTGAAATTTTAAAAAAAATAATTTTTGAAAAAAAAAATTTAGGTGATCATTATTTACCCCAGAAACAGAGTGATCGTGAATTACCCCGGGTCACCCTATTTGTTTTAAGTATGTTCAGCTGTTCCATTTTTTCTTAAGTTTTTTCAGCAATTATACCCAATACGACTCATACAATTGCACAGTGCAGAGCTCTTTCTAGGCAGGGTAAACATGGCGCAGCACCCTGCTGCCCTTTTAGTCAAAAGAATTCACCCTGTTGCCCCTGAAGTAAATTAGTGCCCTGATGTAATAGACTCCATACCCTTTTTTTCCCCAACCCTTCATTATTTTCAACTCTTTTTATTTAGTTTGTCATTGCTGTCAATACATAGATTTATATGGGAAAGGAAAAATAGCCATCACACCCCCTTGTTGCACTTGTCTTTGAAAGTTTGCAGTTGCTTCACTATCATTAAATCATAATTATTATTAATCATTTTAATTATTAAATCATCACTATACAGACACTTAAAAGCATACATTTATTATTTTATTAATATATGCATGCATTTTATTTGAAATAAATTACTAAGCTAATTAGCTCATTAACTCGATATCTATATGTTACTTTATTAATAAAAATTAGTAATTAATTTGCTTTGGTACTTTTAGTAAAGTAAAAAAAAAATTGACAATGTTTTTTAATAGAACATGCAAAGCCCATAGAAAGAAATTATTGCCTTTTTAGAATAATAATGCGCTTTTTTAAAAAAACTTTTGCACCCTGCCCTTTTTTCTGCCTAAAATGAGCTCTGGCACAGTGATTGTGTTTTTTCCCTTAATATATTCTGCATAATATGTACAGGAAATTATTTCTACACATTTGAGTGGCAACCCTGTTTGAGGAAGATTTGTAAACCTAAAGGATTTTTAATGCTGATTTCAAAAATATCAATAATATTCGAATTAGTAAAAAGTTTTGAAAGTTACAAGAAATTATATTTTTGCTGAAAGAGCTTGTTTGCTGCCATTTTGATTTGCATATCAAAAGCTATGAAAGGCTGTAACTCACTGAATATTTGTCCCTGAAGAATAATTATTTCCTTCTTCAGTTTAAAGTAATTTGTCATTTAAACATAATTTCATATAAATAAGTGTCCTACTTCTTTAGTACTTAGATATATTTTGCAGTTTTTTCATCAATGCAGTTGAGAAACTTCAACTGTTGTTCTCATGCAACTCGCCTCTTTCATTTAAAAAATAGACTAAGATAGTTGAAAACGCATACTAACATCTGATAAAAATAGATAAATTTAAAAGATGATTGATATATATATATTTTTAAAATTTTTATAAATTAAAAGTACTTGCCAATTGCTGATTTTTATGGATTGATTGTTACTAAAGTAGTAAAAAATTGTGGGAAATAAGCAAAATAAAGTAAAAAATTATGAAGTAAATGTATATTTTTGCATGTATTTTTAAAAAAAAGAAAAACAATTCTCTTAAGAATTTTTATACATTAAGAATATTTGTAGGTTTATCATGTGAATGTTCCATACGACTCACCTCTTTCAATATGAAAGAAGAAGAAAAAAAAATTTAAATAAAGATAGTTGAAAGCCCAAATTAACAAATTAAAATACATAGGCAATAAATACATATTAAAAAAAAAAAAATTTAGATTGATTGTTACAAAGGTAGTGTAAAATAAGAAATATGCAAAATAAAGTCTGTTTCTTTACTTTTTAGAGAAAAGGAGGAGAAAGAAAAATTTGAGATTTGATCATGAGTCTTGTTATCGAATCACATAGCTTTGGTCAATGAGAGATAAACCATCTTTTTGTAAGAGTAGAGTGCAATACCAAATTATTAAAAAGTATCCGTTGCAAAATTCTGATCAGTGTCTCTTCTGATCTTCCTAACTAAAATAATGGAGTGGAAAGTTAGAATTTATAATGTTGAAAAATATGTGGAGAAAGCCACTGTTTTTTTTTAAAGCATTTCTTAAAATATATTTATTTTAATTGCATTCAGCTAAATTTGTTTTTATTCAACTTTTCAATACCTTCCTTCATAAAAGGTCAACTAAAATGTAATATTTGCTACTGTATTTGTGAAAAATAGAAAAAAAATAAGCATATAAAAAGAGATTAAACTCACTTTTCTTAATGCATTTTCTCTATCGTAAATGTATCTTTGCTAGGATTTCTTAAAAAAAAACCTACCAAAGGGATGCACAACCTATAGCTCACGGATCGAAGTTTATGACTTAGTTTCTGTGCAGTTTTAATTATTTATTAATATTTAATGGAATTTATAATTAATTATTTAATGAAAAATATAAAAATTAAGCAAAAAAGTCATTTTTTCGTTCTATTGTAATCATTTCTTTAGGTCATCCTGTTCTTTTATTCTCTTTTTCTTTAAGTGAAAGCTTAAACCATTAGTTTTTGGAGAAATGTAATTGCTCATAAATTTTACATTCTATTATGATCAGAACTTTTTTTTTAGTAACGGCAGGCACTGAACTTTCGTTCTTCGCCTTAGAAGATGCTGGAAGTGTTGCTCTTTTATCGATACCCAGTGGGCACCTGTGAACCAAAGTAACTGAGGCGAGCAGCATTACCTACGCCACACTGCCCCCAGATACCCGTTCATAGAGTGGGCCACATTCACACATCAGAAGACAACACACAGAGAGAAACATCCATGCCCAGAGCGAGGTTCGAACCTGCAGCCATTGACTTCGCAGTCAAACACGCTAACCATTCGGCCACCTGGCTGGCATTACGATTAGAACTAATGCATGTTATTTTCCATTCGGATCTAAATATGCATTTTTACGGTTACAGAAAAGCAAATAAGATTTAAATAAATTAAATTGTTATGATTTATTAATTATCACCTTTTTATTTAAAAAAAGTAATCTTAATAGTATGTTTCTTTATAAAGTCTAAGTGAAGTAATTTTAATATCAAGGATGCTACGCCTGCGCCATTTGCGACAAACTGAGACAAAACGGCATAACTGCGCCATTTTGCGACCTTCAACTCAGTTTCTGCCAAAGCTGCGCCATTCTGA